AAGCCTTCAACTTAAATCATCTGTTGGTGGACAACGGGGAAGTAAGATCCTACAGAGGGCACAGACCCAGCTTTTGAACAAACGGGTAAGACAGATCAACTTTACCATTGAAGCTATAGAAGCCAAAGAGGAACACATCCGACAAGAATTAACAAAACATCTAGATCAGACCACATTCCAACAGGTTATGGATTTTACAGAAAAGGCAGGTTTAGCTCAGCATATCAAGTCCAAGACCCGACAACAAAAGAAGTTCACTTTACTGGTAACTCGACAGTTCCTTCATAATTCCAACCACCCACAGAAGGTGGAACAACACACAGGAGCACAAGCAAATGCCAGGGAGACAGAGAAGTGGGTGAAGAATTTATCTGACAGAGAACTCACCCAGCCAGAAACCAAAATCCTGTCCAGAGGACTGAACTTTGCRGTTGCACCAAGAAGAATTCCTCTGGTTGAGATGATCACAGCCACAGAATCAGTCATTCGCAACAACAAAATCCCAGAATTTGAAGCAGAACAACTTAGGAACAAAGTTTCAGCCTGTCTCAACAATGCCAACCACCACCTTCCAACATCAGTAGAGAAGAGAGAGACGCTCTCACCACCCTCAGCAAGGACAAGAACATCATCATGAACATCATGCTGGATAGAAACACTGGAGCGGAGTCAGTGAACTGCTGGAACAGACTGCTAACATCGGAGCATTTATGTCGGACATTTTTTATGCAGGCCGATAAAATCCGATACTCATTTTTTGGCTGATATCGGACCGATATCCGATATGAATATCGGATCTGGACACTCCTATTGATTTTATTAGAAATGTCAACCTCCTATCAGCTTTGTGGTCAATTAATTGCTTCCCTCCCAAAATGCCTTAAGATTATCATCTTAAGGCATAATTTTTAACCCAAGACATAATTTTTACAGGTCATCATTTATTTTCAGCATTACTGACAGGTGGTTCAACCCATACTATCATTCTATTAAAGATTGAAGTCAATGTAATTAAGCACCCAAAAGCAATAAATCAATTGATCTTTGTTACTTCACGCATCTTTAAAAAAGAATTGGTTCATTAAATCAAACCAGTGATGCTCGCTACTGACTTCCCCCTCGCCTTTATCAGCCAACTTCCCAAGCAAATTAGACTGACACCAACCAATTATGAAAGCATAACAAACCTGGACTGCATCTCTTGTGTTTTGAGGCTGCTGGGGGACGGTGCGGTGCTGCTTGTCTGCTGGCTGAGCTCCACCAGGGACTGGTAGTACTGCTGCTGTTGCTGCTGCTGCTGCTTGTAGCGCGACAGGATAAAGAAGAGGCCAAGGATGCTTTTCAGGTTGCCATTCCTGATCTCTGCGTCAAGAAAGGAGGAGGGAGATGTCATTTGCCATGATGGTTTAGCAAATCCTTTGTTAAATGAGTTCATCCTGCACCGTAATTTTGCACTGATTTACGGCTTTAACCTGCATCAACTCTCTACTGAACCCTTTAATCAAGTATTTTTGCAAGTGAAAGTGGTGCTGAAGTTGTTTTTCCTTTAAGAAGTGAAGCAGTGTCCTGCAACGCTGAATCTAAATGTCTTCCAGATTGTGTATTGTGTTCTCCAAACACTATAAAACGACCATACATTGATTTTTGAAAAAAGACCACTTGGGGAAGGAGCTCAAGAGCAATTGTTCTGCACTGAGTGTTCCAAATCCTCTGTATAATAACCATTACAGTAAACAAAACTTTATTTGGTGTAGATTAAAGAAACAGTGTAAACTGAATGGAAATTAACAACCAATAAAATGCAGCCAATATTTAGTCCAAAAAGAAAGGAATAAGCCACTACTTAGAAGAACCACAGTTGTCATAGATCCAAACAAAAACATCTGCTAGCATAAAAAAGAAAAAAAAAACTCAGAGTAATTTAGTGAGTATGAGAATTTCTGCATTTGTTAATAGATAAGAGGTTTGTTAGCCAAAAAACTAACATTTAGCCACAGAAGAGGTCTTGATAAACATTTGTTTTTGATAATGTTGGGGTAAAGTGCAATGRTAAATCTGAATCAAACAGAGGACGAAAAAGATATGGAAGAATGTGAGCTGTGAGCTTTAAAGTGTACTGAAATGCTGTAAGAAAATAACAAAACTACATWGCCTCTTTACATATCTGATCCTCTTGCACATTGGGTCCCAACCCTGGACCTCGAGGAACACCATCCTGCATGTTTTAGTTGTTTCCTTGCTTTTCAGTAGGTCTTTAAGTTCTTCAGAAACTTGTCAATCACACATCAATACAAATAAGGTGTGTCAAAGCAGGGAAACATGTAAAACTTGTGGGATAGTGTTCCTTTCGGACCTTTTTTTGTGACGCATTGGCTGGGTTTTTATATTTACTGAATGTTGCTTGTGTTTTTTTTAACCACTTCATAGCTGTATATAAGAGGGTACATTCCCTTGTACAACTTTACAACATCTACAACCTAAACATAATTATTATATAATATTATTCACAATATCACATGGTTGTTGCTGTGTAGCCAATGTGTTGTTGGACAATATGTAGCATTTTAAGAGTAAAAACATCTACAGTGTATTTTGGTACTGGTTCCATACAGCTTTTGTTCACACAGTGTTTCTTCGACCATTATACAGAGGTGGTGGCCGACCCTACCTATTAAACTGGTCAGTGTACACAGTGTACAACATAATCATCCAGATTCTAAGCTGTTCAAACTGCTCTCTACAATGCAAACTCAGGGCAGAGAGAACTTATGGGTCAAGCAAAATGTCTAAAAAAAAAACCTGAAAGTGAGCGCTTGTTTTCTTTTTTCCTTTTTTTTTCTTTTTTCATTTAGTACACAAAATTTGTAAATCAGATAACAAACCATCATTCAATTTCAAATAGGGTTTAATAATAAAAAAGAAACAAACAAACAAAATTATTTTGTTTAAAAAATGGACTGCTTAAGTAAGTAAAGTTTTATTTATATATCCTCCTGAGACCCATCAATTCATTTTTGTCCTCTGTGGGGGACATGCTATTCAGCCCTATATTTTAAACAATACACTTGCAATYTATGTTAGTCCCACTGTGCTGTAAAGAGGACATCCTGGGCTTTCTACTGATGTCACATTTGTGGTCATGTGGCTATCAGAGCACATGTACGTACTTGCTTTTTTAAAATGGCGGAAATCCCCAGTATCAACATTTTATAGCAACAGGGTAGGTAAGTGATAAATTTCCTATCAAAAATTATTTATATTGCTAAAAATGACATTTCCTCATTWGTATGAAAGTCTGCACCATAAGTTTGTACAATTTAAGAATTGTACAACATTGTTACTTACCCCTGTAAAAATACAAGTTTTATCCAGTGTCCTTTGTAAGGGACAGTGGGACTTGCTAAAGATGATCTTAACCACTTTTCATGCCTTGGAAAATATAGGACTGAATGAGGCAGAAATGATTTAATGAGTGTTGTGGAAGGAGAGTCAGACATAGAGCTGCCAGGAGATGATGAGGAGGCAGGCCAGATAGTAGAGCAGGAATGTGAAAGTTCAGAGCAAGACATAACACTTTTTGAGGAGCCTGCGGAGGAACAACATGAAGACACGTGCCGGCCAATATTGATGAAAAGCAATATGTAAGTAAGGGTCATGGAATTTATTGGTAATAGTGAGTGCAAAGGAAAAATTTCAACTTTTTAAAATTTATAACACATAGAAACAATAATGTAAATTTTTGTGATGGCAATTAAATATGTAATTACACATTTTGCATTACATTAAAGTATAATTCTCTTTTTTTCAATCAGCATAGTTTCAACCCTGTTGTGGAGGAGAATCCCTTGCAAGAAAGCAATGGGCACAGTCTCCAAGACTTGGAGGCCAACTGATTACTGTAAACAGTACACAGATAATTGCATTTKTGATTTAAAAAAGTCAGAATACACAAACCAGCAAGAGTACTTAAATGTTTTGCATTTCAGACATGTAATTAGTTATGTAAGCACTTTTTTAAGCCATTTCTTCAACTGTTTTGTCTGTTTATGAATTTCGAAAAGTATAAATCTGTTTTAAGTATTTATAAAATAAAAAYAAATGTAATTTATCAGTTTTAAATAATCATKAKGTAAA